AACTTTTATATAGGTTCATGGAATAGGATTTTAATTACCCTAGAACTCTTATTTTCTGGATCTTCAAAGGTGAGGAAATATTGTTCCTTCTCACACAATAATAAGAGAAAGTTTTGCATTCTAGAAAGATCTTGATAGGCCTTCCTCCACACAGGATATGACAAACCCATTTCCGTAATCCATGAATCAGAAAGTTGTACCAAATAGCAAATGATTTTACTAAACTTAAGAGTGGAATCTTCACCAAGAATTCAGTAAGTGATAGTGTCATTCAAATGAGTGTCTTGGTATTTTTGGTATTACCAGTGGAGATTTATAAAGGTTGTCAAGCCAGTTAATTTTTTTTAAATCAAAAGGGAATAATTTGTATGAACGTAATATTAAGCTCATCCTGCATGATTAGATGCAAAGTATGCCCTTAAGCTTTCTTTTTCCACTTTCCATATGTAACTGAGGTTTCTCTTTAGCATATCAGCATCATCTTGGACTGGGATTTTTTGTTCCCTGTGACTCTCCCCTCTTCCTGACACCATCCTCCAAATCCCAAAGGGCATTGGTTTTAAAACTAAAGTCTACTACTTTTTACTTGAAGTGCTATTATTGCTGTGGCAATTCCCATTCTGCATATTTTTCCATATTACGTGATACGATGTAAAAAGATTTGTATTGACTGAAATAATAGATGTGCCCTCTCCCCTGAAGAAGCTACTTTGATCACGTTAATTTAAAATAGATGCAGAATAGATGCATTTGATATTTTTAACTTTAAAAATTAAATTTATGTTGTGTTTTCATAGAAGGCAAAGGAAAATCAACTTTAGTCCTAACATGCTGTTTTTCCTTTCCCACACAGGCCCACCAAGACCATCACTATGACCGATGGGGACTATGATTATCTGATCAAACTCCTGGCCCTCGGAGATTCAGGAGTGGGGAAGACGACATTCCTTTATAGATACACGGACAATAAATTCAATCCCAAGTTCATCACTACAGTAGGAATAGACTTTCGGGAAAAACGTGTGGTGAGTTTTTAACCATACTGTTAACATCGTTACTATCCCCCTATGTAAAAGAAGAACAGAAAAGCTGTGTGTATTGCCTTGCAAAGTGTCTGTCTGTTATCACATGAAATTCATAACCTGTCACTTTAATTTGCTTTAGAATATTATTTACTACTTTTCAACTATAAATAAGATTTTGCTAGAAAAATATTGAGTGGCACTATCTCTTGTCTCCCAAAGTATGCAAGGCAGCTAAAATAAATAATTTCTGGATTTGCATAGTGTGTTTTCTATGAATTCTTCAGGAATTCTTTCAAAACTTGAATTATTCAGGATCTAAACACATTAACTCTTTGATCTGAGTTAAATTCCTCAATAAGACCAAGGGTTCCTTTCTCTTCTCTTAAGAAAGAGGTTAAAAGTATGATTGGCAAATGGCTGGAACATGAGCTTTGTGAGTTCTTGCTGAGTTTTTATTTATGTGTAGACTCAGCCATCAATCACTGGCTTATTATGAACAGAATGTGAGACCAACCCATGCTATTTTCCAAGATAAGGGAGTTTAAGTGAGAATCACAACCACTTCCTTCTCCTATGCTAGACGCTAATGACAGAAATAAGGATATTGTGACATGTGAGACGTGTAGCATAGGCACATAAGCTTAGCCAGATTTACTGCCACCCAGGGCATGCTTGATTGCCAAGATAGCTGTGGCTTCCAGTTGATGTCACAAATCCACTCATGCCTTGGGAGTTGGGAAAGAAAACTAAAGAAATGGTGGTTGGAAGCCATTGCCTGAGAAGTCGAATCAAGGTTCCCTGTGATTTGATATGCTGCCCCTTCTCTGTAGTCAATACTTTGTAGTGTAGTCATAGCAAACTGGCTGTCAACCCAGCAGGGTTTCTCCTGCCTTCTCTCCTCCCCGATGTCCCCAGTGATCTGGGTATAAGTCTTTGGAAAGTTTTCCTTTTAAAACATTTTCACTAAACTCTACTTAAGGGAGCTGATTAAATATTAAAGTTGTTATGCTTTACTTAAAAAGAGCCAGAATTTTTTTAAAAATTTGTTTATCCAAAAAGAGCCTTTGATGAAATTGTTGGTGAAGGAAGGCTTGAAATGTCCTGTGTCAACTTATTGAGAAATTCTGTGCATATTTTATGGCTGGGTCATTTTGAAAGTCCATTCCACAGGAAAAGATACTCGCGTATTCGTAAAGCACTTTACTGTTTGCAAAATTACTTTCACATCTGTTAGTTCACATAAGTCTGTAATTTGCAGTAACTCTGTAAAGTGGGAAGGGGTTATAGGTCTCCACTTTCAGATAAGAAAATGAGACTGAAAGACGTTAAATGAAGAGTTGGTATTTGAACCTAGAACTTGGGTCCTAAATCTGATGTTTGCTGCCTCGTGAGGAAATGACAGAAGGTGTCTAATTCGAGTTCGCAATATGCCTAAATTGTGTTGAAAATCATACTTGTACTTGACATTTAAAAGTGAGAGTACATGTGATGCTTCTGGAAAAAATAGAGCAAATATTTATTCTGCACTATGAACTTTGATTATAGTAATCAAGAAAAAACATGCTGAGTGAACCCAGAGAATTACAATGTTGACAAAATCCAAAGCAGTATCAACTAATGAACATCGTGCCTTTCAGGTTTATAATACTCAAGGACCAAATGGATCTTCGGGGAAAGCGTTTAAGGTGCATCTTCAGCTTTGGGACACGGCAGGACAAGAGCGGTAATAGCAAATTACTTTGTTTCTAGCTTCGTAGGGCTTAGAAAAGCTTATTTTAAAATGAATGCTGTATGTGAGCTTGAAAAACAAATAATAAGCAACTTTTCTCCTGGTTTCAAAATAGACATTTGCGTCAAGAAATAAAAATAAATGATTTGTAGTTAATTACCCATACTAGCTTTGTATCATTGATGCAGATTTCAAAAATCAGATTTTCAAAAATCTCTATGAAGATTCTTGCTATGCATTATCTTTGCACTTTTCTGGTAGAAAAGAAACTTCTCCAGAATTTAACTGAATAAAGATGGGAAATTAACATGCTTATAAGTGCTCCTGGAAGAGGGAGTCAAAGAAAGGGTGTGAGGATTTCTCTCTTTCTGTTCTTCCACACAGCCACTTTGTCTCATGCCATGTGACTGGCTTTGTCCTCTCAGATTCTGATCATGCCATTGCCCTCCAGCTAGAATCTTCTACTCTCTTCCCATTTTCCCTGATCCTCTCTTTTGACCAGGCCTGGCTCATATTCCAGCCCCTCTACGAAGCCTGTCTGAGCACCCCAACTGAAACAAACCTCCACTTTGCTTCTGAACTCCTGTGGACACCTATGACACCACCCTTTAAGTTACTAAATTATTAATATATACCATCTTGTAATAAGACAAATCTTCTATGTTTCTCTCTAACTGTTGTTCATTGATTCCCTTGTGGCCTTCTCAACCCAACACAATCGTCAGTTTTACGAGGGTAGAGACTTTGCCTGGTTCTTCAGCATTGTCTTTGGAACAGTGTCCAAGATAATATTCAGTAGACAGAAATGTTAATGGCTCAGGGTTGGAGGTACTATTCCATTATTTGATGAAAATATATTTCTTTGAGATCCAAAATTTCAAAGCATGAAAGACCCCAAGCTGATAACGCTTTTCAGTATTAGATTAAATTAGAAATGGCAATAGATTGGCAGAGAAGATATTTAGAAGGCACATACCTCCAAATTCCGCATCGTATGTCTTAGAATGCTTATGCTTGTAAACACTTTGGTTTTTGAAATGCATCCAAAGTGTTCTCACTGTCAGTGAGTGTAAATGCCAGGAGAGGTGCTGGGCCCTCTCTGTTAGCTTTTTTGACTGTGAATTCCATTTACACACACCCTTCAACACTGCTGGTTCCTCCGAAGTCATTCCTCACAAGAGTCTCTGTTCATATGTCAGTTTTGTTGTCACAAAGATGTATGTTTTATAGAGCAATCGAATTCATTTTTGAAGAAGTAATATGAGAAAATATGGTTCCCATATGTCCTCACACACGATATGTCAGCCTAGCGTGATGGCAGCCTTCTCTGTCTGTCCCCTTCAAGCAGCTGCTCTGGGAGGGAAATGGGAACACTATGGGGCAGTCTTGGTAACACTTAGGCTATTCATCCCTTGAGAATTTTGCATTCTGTATACATAAGGTGTAGCTAAGCAACAAGATACACAATGCTTCACACCTCAGCCCTGTGCCTAAAGACATCTGGCAGTATAATCCATGTAAGATAATGGTTATTGATAAAAGGCACATCATGGGAAGAAGGAAAAAAATACATAGTCCTCATGTAAACCTATAGGATACAGGGCACAGCCTTAGTTCCCAGTGAGGGAAACAGAGTGATTATGTGACTCTAGGATCTATTTCTTTATGTGGTCTTAGTTTTCCTCACTCCATTGACCACTGGACAGGATGAGATGGGGGGGAAAAGCAGGAGACGAATTACTGTGTCCCTGGGAAGAATGAGGGTTAACAAGGATGCTGGGCAGAAAGAGCGAATGTGTCCTATGCACCTATCCACACTGCTGTGGATGAAAAAGTGCCCGTCCCAATCAGATCACTACAATAAGCACGTTTTGAGTAACTTTGTCATATGCTGTGGGCAATGAGATGGGAATAACATACTAGTCCTCAAATGAGACACACACACACATACACACACACACAAATACACTCACACACTTAGGAAGAGAAAAAGAGCAGTTTTCCTAGCCATGACACTATTATGGTTGAGGAGGGGACAATTTTGTGGGTACAGCTAGTCTCCAAAGAGAGAGAACCACTCAGCAAAGGCACTATAATCTCTGTGAGCTTCCAGGGAATGGTAGAAACAAATCCACAAGAAAAAATTGAATAAGTGTTTTGGTATTTCTACTCTACATTTTTAGATCATGCTAATGCCCTACAAAAGAAATCCTACTTTGGAAATAAATAATAGCGAAAATATCTCTTATCCCATCTTTTTTATTTAAAGTATCATTCTCTATTGAAGTCATTTTAATGCTTGAATAGCTTTATATTTTTTTACTATTCTCTTTATCTTTCCCTTACTCTCTTTAATTTCACAAATATTTAGTGAGCAAATACCATGTTCTGGGCCATGAAACCATAATGGATATCAAGTTAGAAACACGGCTCCTTTCCCCTTGGAGCTTACAGTCTAGGCTGGAATTTGAACAAATAAACAATTGCAATATACCTTTAGGACAATAACAGAAAAATGAAGGCATTGGGCAGGCCCACAGGAGACGCCCATAACCCAGATGTGGTGTTAGAAAGGCTCCTTGGGGAAGTGATATTTCTTCTGACACCATTAGGTATTATATATACTCATGTTCAAGGTATGAGTGTGTGTTATTCAGGCTACAGGAAGTGGTAGGAGGAAAAGGAAGCATTAGGTGAGGTTACACAGAAAGACCATCGTGTGTGAAAGCCCAGGGGAGGAGGGTGAACTTTCTAGGAACAAAAGAAAGATCAGCATGCCTGTGGGGAGTCAGGAAGCTGGACTGATGAGAAGGATCAGTTCATGCAGAGCCTTGACAGCTTATTAAGGAGTTCAGGCATGAGCTTAAGGGTGATATATAATCATTAAAATATAATCTATAGGAAGAAATAGAGGGGTGGGGAGCTGGGTCCCAGATAAGATTGGGCACAGGAAGCCTAATGAGAAGGCTGCTGAAGTTGTCCAGGTGAGAGACAATGGATTCAAAAGTGGAGCAGTGGAAGGGTAGATGGACAGAAATGAGCAGGTTGAGAGATACGTGTTGACTGTAGGCAGCAGGTGATGGAAAAAGGGGTCATGGCAACCAGAAGGGTGGTGGTGTCACTGACACAGAAAGAAATCAGGGGGAGGGGCCAGTTTGGTTTTGGACGGGTGGAGTTGGAGATGCCTGAGTGTCCTCCAAATGGAAATATCCAACAAGTAATTAGGCACCCAGTGTGAAAGGCAGGAAAGATCTAGATCTATAAATCTCGAATTCCTCAACCTACAGGCTAAAAAATGAGCCAGAGAAGTGGATGCAATTACCTGGTGAATGTATATAGAGTGAGAGGGATTGAGGATAGAACCCGGAGGAAACCAGCACAAAGGATCTACAAATAGGCTAAAATAGGAGACCAAGAATTAGCAGAACATTCCTGAAAACTTGTTGCCAAATTTAAAACGTTTTCTGGTCCCTACGTGTGGTCTCTGGTTTTACCCATTGCTCATGTTGAAGTGAATCTCAGCTCATGTTCAACTTCACTGAAAAGTCTGAGAGTGGGGGTAAGGAAAGGAGGGAGAGAAGGTCTTCGCATTGCACACGAACGAGGAGATCCTTCAAAATCCTCCATGACAAACAGGTGTCCTCACTTTCTTTCCCCAATGACTGTGTCTCTCTTTTGTCCTGACCTTCCCTTGGTCCCCCTCATCATCGTCCTTTTCTTCATCCAACCTGGATGTCAGCCTAAAGCTCAGTTATACCCCAAAGAGTACTTTTAAAAGAGTTTTGTCACCAACAGTTTTCCTTACAATAGAATTCCAGTTTCAGCTGCTAACAAGTTGTGGTTTTCCTCATATCACCACAGACATTCATTTGCGGGTACTGTGTGCCAAGCTTTCTTCTGGGCACAGACAAGCAAGATTGGAAAGTATTAGTAAAAGTCCCCGCTCTAAAGTGGTTTTCATTTAAATTATGGACCACAAGATGCTCGGGAATCAAAAAGAAAAAGATTCTAAGTTGCTGTGTAAGCAAGTGTGTGATTGAATGTTACAAATCCTGTGTGTATAAGTGCTGTGGAACCACAGACCCAGGAATTGGTCTTAAAAAAAAGTCCACAGCCAGATCTCCTCCCCTGGCCTTCTGCCCACTCTCCCATTTCTGTAGGGCATTCCATAGGGGCCAGCCCAGCCGTGGAGACTTCATACTTGAAAGGGAAACAGCGCTGTTTGTATTGTCATCGTAAGAATGTGGACTAACTGTGGGAATTGCCCACTGTGCTTTCTTGGCAGGTTCCGGAGCCTTACCACCGCATTTTTCAGAGACGCCATGGGCTTCTTGTTAATGTTTGACCTCACCAGTCAACAGAGCTTCTTAAATGTCAGAAACTGGATGAGTAAGTGGGACCAAGTAACGTGCACTGACTGCTTTGAGACCCAATAGCTTTAATGTCCTCTTGGCCTGGCCAGATGAAACCAGACTGAACACCACAGATTTATGTTGGAAAGTCATGAGCTTAGTGGTTCCCATGTCACCTTCAAAGTGGTGGCCTTTATGTGAATCACCCAACTTGGCTTGGATTTGTATTTTCCTTTGACACCCTTAGAGGAAGCCAATGTAGTTTTATCACCACCCATATTTAAGGTCTTCTTTAACGTCATTGAAAAGCCATTAAATCTCTTGTCCTGGAAGTCTTGAGGGAGTTCTTAAAACCAAGCAAGTGACCACATTTACTACATCTCACCTGGTGAGGGCACAGTGAAAATCTGCAGTGTTTTCTTAGAGGGAACACTGGTCCCTAAGATGTGTTCAGTGACTAATGGGTTAATCGAGTGAGAAACTACTCCAGAGCAGACTGGCCACGTGATGATAAGGTAAGGTACAGCGTGTCAGTCAACTTACACTGAAATTTAACTTTAAAAAAAAAGTTCAAATGTGAAGATGACTTGCACAGAAAAATCTCCAGCATCCATAGCAACTTAGATATAATACAAAATTTAAATGTCGCCGAATCCATTATTAATGTCAGTTTGATATATATCAATGCAGGAGAGAAGTATTAGAATTTTTCTATGTTTTCTGAATTGATGGGGTTTGTATTGCTCTTGTTGTTTCCAGATTTGACAGGGTTATCTATAGCTGGAGTGATATTTTTTAAAAACTAGATCATGTTATTCCCCTGCTCACAGTCCTTCTGTGACTTCCCATCTCATCTGGACTAAGATCCAGAGTCCCTCACCTCTACCTACAAGGTCACTGAGATCAGTCCCTGGGCTTCCTCTCTAATCCACTTACTCGGCCCCAGGGCACTAGCTCTAGCCAAAGGGGCTCTCATGCTATTCCCAGGACCAAAAGCACATCCTACCTTGGGGCCTTTGCACGGCTGATTCCCTGTCTCGCTTTCTCTTCTCCCATTTACTGGTCCCTTCATCCCCTTCAACTTTTTACCCAGCCCTCCCTTATTTACCTCTTGGGAGAAGCCTTCCCTGACTGGCCACCTCATCTAAAAGGGTATTCTTCGTCACTCTGCATCTTCTTGACACACTTTCTAGTTCATTCAGTCCCTGCCATCATCCGATATTATATTATGTATTATTTTTGTTTACTTGTGTTTTTGAGTCTTTCCACCACTAGAAGCTCTGTGAAAGTGCAGACTTTGTCTCTTTTGTTCCATCGCAACATACCAGACCTGGATGAGCACTTGGCACAGAGTAGATGCTCAAAATATGTATATTTCTTATTACTACATATTATCTAAAATTACTAATGTATTATATACAATTAATAATTAATATATATGACTGTTTTCAATGTAAGTTCAATAACCCTGTTGTAACCAATGGGGAAAAATATCAACAAATTCTGACTTTATTAATTGCTTCTCCAAATGAGTATTTATCCCAGGATCTATCCTTATTTCTTTTCAGTATTATATTTCCTTATCCAAATTTTGATGGTATTATTAGATTCTTTTCAAGAATGGTTTATTTATCCTTTTCAAGGCAGATGAGATTATCCCTTGTTTTTAAAAGTCTACAGAAGGATATTGCTGGGATTTAAGATAATTAATTTCCATGTCTGATAACACTTTAATTCTTAACATCCCAAATAATCAATGTGACAGGGTAAACCTTTGTCTTCTTCCTCTGGTCTGGGCAAGGTAGCCCACAGCATGCCTTAAGATAGACATTAATGTAGCCTCAGTAGCATCAAAAACACAGGTTGACAGGTGTCTTTTCTTTCCTTTTTTCCCCTCCCTTCCCTTCCTCCCCTCCTTTCTTCCATGCTTCCTTCCTCTCTCCTCTCCCCCTCATTTCTCCCTTTCACACAGTATTTCTTGAAGAAAAAACAAGTTACCTGTCTTAAAACTGTTTCTGCATGAATTTGTGGTTGTTAAAAAACATTCCACTCTATGGATCATTGCTTTCGACATTAGGAGAGAGATCTGTAGCAGCCTCTTAAAGGAAAAAGAAATTTATCCACTTTAAAATCATGTTCTATTATCTCCACTTATATTTGAGAATCCAGTGGTATGAAGCAGCACGTCCATCTCAGAGGGCACTTCCACAGATGTGGAAGAGCACGGATAGGTATTGACACAGGTGCTCTAGATATGTTAGTCACCTGCACGACCTGCAATTTGTGAGGCTTAATCTCCATCTTACAGATGAGGAAACTGTGAATGAGAAGAGGACGTAACTTGGCTAATGTAACTAGACAGCAGCCAAACTGGAGATGAGCAATCACATTAGGATCTGGAGTGCAGCAGTTATTTGACATTACTTATTTATAACTAACAAACTTGCTGGTTCCGTCTGCTTCCTTTCCAAGGCCAACTGCAAGCAAATGCTTATTGTGAAAATCCAGATATAGTATTAATTGGCAACAAGGCTGACCTGCCAGACCAGAGGGAAGTCAATGAACGGCAAGCCCGGGACCTGGCTGACAAATACGGGTAAGTAGTTAGTTAGTTACGGTAACTAACGGTAGTTAGTTACACCGAGACGTCATCTGACCTTGTGCACTGTTGCTCAACTAATGAAGCAGGGACATGAGATTGATACTAAAAGAAATCCCCTGAATCAAGAACAGTATGTGAATTAAAAAGATCTTCCAGAGGAATATATGTGATGTTTTAATAAATTACTTAATAATAGCACCTGACATTTCTTGAATACTTACTATGTGCTAGCAACTGTTCCTAGACTTTAATTCATTTAACCCCTCATAAGAATACATAGGAGATACTAGAGCTATCCCATTTCATCTGTGAAGACTTGAGTCACAGAGAGATTAAATAATTTATGGAAGGCCATGTATTAACAGCTAGTAAGTAGCAGAGCTTAAATGCAGTACAGATCCAGTCTGAGATCAGGGCTCATGCTCTTAAACACTGTACCCTACTGCCTCTTAATCAATAGCTGCAAAACTCTGAGGGATCATACCTGATATGGAAATGACAACGCAATCCTTATTCTAGCTGAGCTGGAATGGTAACTAAAGAAAAGCAAAACCAGAAAAGCCCCACGTCATTGTAAATTGATTTCTGTGGCAGAATCTGTTATTATTTTTTAAATTTAAAGTCGTTTTATCATATCTGCCCATTTTTTTACTGAAGGATTCTCCCTGAGAACTTTAAAATTCATGACTCTTAGAATTTTTGATTCCAGATAAATGTAGACTGTATTCACATGAATATCCTATTCAATGCATGCCTAATTTCTAAGTTAGATTTCCAGATAATTATTGGAAGGGAAGCAATATTTTAATGTCAGTATTTATCACTAGTTTAGGCATTTTCCCCTCCTATTTTTCTTAAACAGTGATAATGCCTTCACTTCAACTTCCTGACCACCTCTGGTATCGTTTTCCTTGCCCATAAAGCTGGTTATAGCCATGGTAGAGAGCGGCTCACCAGTTTTTACTGACTGAGAAAAAACAAGGATGCTTTCCAGCTTAGCCAGCAAAAACATGATTATTTCACAATCTCTCAGCCAGCCATGTTTTTGTATGTGTGATTCATGTGTACATCCTGTTGTATCTGTTCTCATTTCTCCCACTCAAAAATATCTATCATCTCTTCTATGCTAGCATACCATATTTTGAAACAAGTGCAGCAACTGGACAGAATGTGGAGAAAGCTGTAGAGACCCTTCTAGACTTAATCATGAAGCGAATGGAACAGTGTGTGGAGAAGACGCAAGTTCCCGACACTGTCAATGGTGGAAATTCTGGAAAGCTAGATGGGGAGAAGCCAGCAGAGAAGAAATGTGCCTGCTAGATTCTCCATAGTAACTGATCATCAACAACCCACCCATATTACTTTCAAAAACAATGACAAACCACAAGATTGTTGTTGAGTAGACCATGCACAATGGCATGCCCTTCTTTTTCTGCCAGAAAATCTATTTTAAGAAACAAGAATAGTCAACAGAGTTCAAAGAATTGACCAGTTATCCCTGAGGCCCTTCCAAACAAGATCAAAGATTTCCTAAAGTGATTTCATCATTACGGACGCTCAATTTGTTTTTCATATAAAGAAGATGAGTGTGTAAGACAGTACACAAGAAATATCAGTGAGTTTTAAATCAGAACATAAATCACCTTATTACACTGGAGAAAGGGATAGGTTACTAAAGGGAAAACATAGAAAGATGATTTTTTAAAAGATTGGATTTCTTATACAGAATCTGGTTCATACTTTTATATTTGCATTGGTGAAAACATATTATCTAAAAATGGATATATAGTGAAAAATTCTATGTGGTTTATTAATATGACATTACTGTGTACACCCAATAAGTTTCACAGGAATGACTAAATTACTGATAAGGCTATGAGTGGATGAATGTCATGCCTCTGCTAAAATGTAGACGATTATGTCATAATGCCATTTTCATATTCTTAAGAAAGACCATATAGACAAGAACAGGACTATGAATGACAAAGTACAAGAGAAATGCCCTAAGGAAAAAAATGAAAGTATGGGAACATGGCATTTGGAATGCTGAAATTAAATGTATCTGTTGCAGATGTCTGGAAGAGTTACTGAGCCAAATTTTACTCAAGCCAATTAGAAGTTGACATTATCAGTTGGAATTAAGAAAATCTCCAGAGGTTTCCATTTCGAACAAAATTTAGAAATTGGTTTGGTGTTCAACTTCACATTTCATTTTTCTTAGAAAATGATAAAATAGTCACACTGAGAAATTGACAGTTACTGTTTAAATATCTCTTTAAGAAATTCAGTCAAGAAAATTAGCCTTAAAACAATTTTAAGATAAAATATGCTGGTGATATGAAACAAAGAGTGACTATTAATTGTGGGGTTTCCTTTTAGTTCACAAAAGTACTGGAAACCCAAATCACATGCCTTCCCTCCAAACCTCACCCACCCCTGGCTTTGAATCAATTGTACACGTGCAGATATATCACCATGTAGATGAACAACTTCAGAATAATGATGGATCAATTCTATGGTCACTCTGAATTTTCATGTCATTAATCACATAAAAATTGATGATACCTCATTGTATAGTATGGTATGTTTTTATTTTGCCTAAGGCAAAGCACCTATAGTTGAGCTGTATTTGTGGGCTGGGTGGGCAGCAATGGACCTGTATTTTATCTCACCAAAAATTTGGTCAATTCTTTTAATTTTTAACATAAAGATGCCTTTTCTTTCTAAAAACGATCACAAAAGTATTTTCCACCTGCCTGTTCTTGTCCTTGTGACAAATTAACATTATATTAGTTTTTGATCTTAGTTTCTGATACAAGCCATTCCTATCAAAATATTATTTATTTCAGTCCATTTTATCAATAACAAAGGCAATGTACATCAAGTTTTCTCTTTTTATTATGAGTACATGATTTTTTGACAGGATGGGTCCTCTTACTACAAAATGTTTCCGATCAGTGGCAGAGTGAAGTGGCTCACACCTGTAATCCCAGCACTTTGGGAGGCCAAGGCAGGAGGAGTGCTTGAGCCCAGGAGTTTGAGTCCAGCTTAGGCAACATAGCAAAATCCCATCTCTAAAAAAAATTTAAAAATTAGCCAAGTGTGGCAGTGCACACCTGTAGTCCCAGCCACACAGGAAGCTGAGGTGGGACGATCACTTGCGCCCAGGAGTTGGAGGTTGCAGTGAACAATGATCACACCACTGCACTAGAGCCTGGGTGGCAGAGTGAGACCTCGTCTCAGGAAAAAAAAAAAAAAAGAGAAAAGAAAGGAAAGGAAAGGAAAATTTTCCAATTGGACCTACTTTTCCCACACTCTGTGCATATTTTTTGTGAAGTTACAAACATTGGAGACCCTAAAATCCCAGTCCCCCATTCAACCTCTCCCTACCAACCTCCATCTTGTATTGAATCAGTTTCAAAAATGTCTATTTCCAAAGAAATGTCTATTTACAATGTCCTTGGGATGGACTAGACCCAGAAATGTGCTATGAATCAAAACAACATGGAAGCTTGTTTGGGGATGAGCCCCCAGTGAAATTCTCACTGTTGACTGCCCCGCTCCTTTGATTTCTGCATTACCACGACGGCATCTTGGTTGGGTATTCCCACCCAAGGTGTTTTTCTCTGGGATGCTCTCCATGATCTCAATGCCTGTGACATCAAGGTAGAAAGCAATCATTTAAGATGTTGAAGATGTTTCTTCTGGGAGGAAAGTGAGCAGAAACAATATAACAATTGCTGTGGCAAAATCTGGTGAACTTTTGCGATCATTATATCAATTTCTTCTTTGTATTCAAATTGTGATATTCCCTGCTTTTTCCTAATAGGGAATTTTTAGCCTTTATAAAAACCCCAAAAGTATTCTATTTTGACATGCCTTTTTGTTTCTATTCATTTTCCAGTTTATGATTGATTTACTTATGCCAAGTTTCTGTCATTGTCAGTCATTTAAGCAGTATTTTTTTTCAGGCTCTATTTTAAGATCATTATTTGATAGCTGTAGCATGAAGTAGAGAGTGATGATGCCCATAATTATAGAACTGTGCCTGTAAAAATAACAATTATTGGGTAATAATCTCAAGAGGAATGAAATTTAAAACTGACAAGAAAATTAATTTAAAATAGCATTCCATTTATAAATACTTGATGTAAAATTTTTTTTTCTGTAAAGTTTGACCACTGACACCAAATTTTGTGCAACCATTATTATTTCAGGATTGATAGGTCTGTATAAATTAATCTGGTGCCATGCAGTGTACATGATACTGTTTTAAATGAGTCCATATCCCCTTTACCCCACAAGAGCATGTATTTTTAGGCAAGATATGTCCTGTTGCTGATTACCTACCAGTGTCTTAATAAACCATATTGTATTTTGGAGAAATATTTAAAATGTACAGGAAACTCCTTTCTGATATAGAAACTATTTCTGGAGCATTTACACTGGTTTGATGTTTACATTGTTCTAACTCAGTGCCTCAGATACCTCTGTGACCAAATTTGTCTCCAACCATGTAGTTCATTTCCTATAATGTTACATCATAGGAAGCCCTCCCAGAGACACTAGCACAGCTCAAGGTCTTCTAATATCATCAGAAAAGGATGCAAGGACTGTATCGGAATCTAGAGATTATGACCTCCTTCCCTTGGTTTCCTAGCTTACTTCTCATGGTGTGGGCATTACTTGAGACTCTTAACTGTGATTAGGTAACAAGGTTATCTTCTAATGTAAAAAAAGAAATATCTTTAAAAAATATGTCAAGAATAGGGAGAGAACATAATGTTTGTCTTGGTCTGATGATGGTAACAAGTCATGAATTGGCAGAAAAAATACTGAATGATGGAGTTGAGCTTATGGGTCTCTCTCCATGAGAGTTTAATACTGTTGCAAGTTACCACTGTAGCCAATTTGCTATCATTTCTGTATTATCAGCTATCACACTGCAAACAATTCAAAACCAACATTTTCGAAAGTTAATATTTTTTCTGTTATTTTTAGCCAGATGGGCCATTGTACATATTGGTGGGTGTCTTTGTCATGCTTCTGTTATAAATTGTTCTTTGCCAACCTGTTAAGGTTGGATGAACCGGGCAAGCCCTTTCTTGTCCCCTTTATAAGAAAGAGAGGTTTGAGCATAGAGAAGGACATGACTACATTAAAAAATAATTTATTAACAGCACCCTATGATGTTCTTTAAGCTGTAAATTGAGTCCATTGGAAATCAACAGATTTGAAGAAGCCCATATATCTTCTCACCAGTGGAATGGGTACAGCAGTTAGAAAGAGAAGCAATATTGTGCAGTAGATGCAGTGTACGGCTAGGCATAGTATACCACCTGGAATCTTGTCCATGAAACAAGGTCATTCACTGTTCTCTCTCTGTTCACTTAAAAAGGGCACATATACATTCCTCAGTGTGTATCACACCAAAAATTTGAAAGAAAATCCTCATCCATAAAGGATTTTGGAATTATAATCTAAAACTCAAACTATAAAGAAATAATATTCCAAGTCCATGGTTTCCTAAGATGTATAATAACTCTTTAAAAGGAAGATCTGAGAACTGATATTAGCCAAAGTGACAGAATTGTCTTTTACCCTCTACTATCAAGCTTTAAAACATTTAAAGAAGTATAGTGTATTTGAGTATTTTAGAAAAAGCTGTATCATTTTTAAAGATGCTTAGATATTATCTATTAATATATTTTAAAATGTTGTCTAAGAATTCACCATAAGCTATATTTTCTTCTCTATCTTTGACCAAAGTATTATCAACTTATTTCTGGGGAGAGTGCTAAGCTCTTAAACAGGAAAATGGATATAGATTATTATCTGAGATGAGTATTGTCTCAATACTCTATAAATCCATGAAGCTATTTTCACATAAAGTAGACCAGATAAAAATTGTTATTGGATATAGAGAGAATTTTACAAACTTATTGCCTCGGAATTCTTGGCTGGAGACCAATTCACAATGACCTTGTTAAGCAAGAACTATAAAGAGAAATAGGAGTTAAAAGTTGTCTAAACTGTGCCCTTAAATACAGTAGAACTTGGAGAAGGCCATACTTAAAAGGATGATTTTAAAGTACAAAATAAAACAAAACAAAACAAAAACACTTAATAGCAAACATTTTTTTGTAATCAAATCCATGGCAAATATTTATTCATCATTTTCATCTACCATCTATGCTCTTAGAACTAAACTAATAGAAGGCTTAAATAAAAAATATTATTGGCATAAAAATTTGGGAAACTTAGAAACATTTTCTTTACCACATATGACTCTAATATTTTCATCAATTTTACTTTGATTAATTTTTCAAGGAGCAGCATCACAAAGATACTTTTCTGTAGAGTTCTTTATACCAATAGTCTATGATTGAGGTGTTTTCTCACTTCATATATGGAAAGAATATCATTAACAAACAAAGACATTAATACCAAAATGGAGGGACTGTTTAAAAGGGTGTCATCTTTTGGGAAAAATGTACAAAGAAATCATCTTTGGATTGAGTGACTTAAATTTGGTTTCCTGGCTTCTTTCCTTCCCAAGAGGTCATGGCAGTCATGGCTAAGATCCCTCAGCTGACTG